TGCTCTTCCGATCTTATCTGTTATTATCTCTTTGCATGAGTCTAATCCTTGACTCCACATCTGCATGAGTCTAAGCCCTGACTCCATACCTACCTAAGGCTAAGCACTGCCTTCTCTTTGCATGAGTCTAATCCTTGACTCCATGTTTGCATGAGTCTAATCCTTGACTCCATGTTTGCATGAGTCTAAGCCCTGACTCCATCTTTGCATGAGTCTAATCCCTGATTCCATCTTGCACGAGGCTGATCCTTACCTCCATNCATCTTGCATGAGCTTAACCTCATGCAAGATGCGGGACTAAGCCCTGTCCCGCATCTTGCATGAGGTTAAGCTCTACCTCTATATTTGCCTTCTCTTTGCATGAGTCTAATCCTTGACTCCACATTTGCATGAGTCTAATCCCTGTCTCCCATCTTGCACGAGTCTGATCCCTGACTCCATATTTGCATGGGACTAAGCCTTGTCCCGCATCTTGCATGAGGTTAAGCTCTACCTCCATATTTGCCTTCTCTTTGCATGAGACTAAGCTCTGTCTCCAATCCTGCATGAGTCTAAGCCCTTACTCCATACGTGCTAAGTCTAATCCTTGCCTCCTTATTTGCATCATGATAATCCTTGCCTCCCCACTTGCACGGGACTAAACATTGTCCCTCTTTGCACCAATGCTGCTCTATTTTTCTACTAATCACCTACTTTCTTTTCGATCGGGCTAAGCTCTGCCCTTCATTTCACAAGACTAAGCCTTGTCTTGTTACATCATATTATTGCATTTCATGGGCTGAAATATCGCCAATCTGTCCAAAGGCGTCATAGTCTAAAGGCATCATCCTCATAGCCGGAAGACACCATGCCATGGCCTGAGGATCCCCGAAATTTGCATATCATTATTCAAAGGCATCATGGTTCGGAGGCACCATTTTCATGGCCCGAGAACATCATTTCATGGCCTGCGAATCCCTCATTAAACAATTCATGGCCCAGGACGTCATCTTTAACCGTCTGAAGACAACCTTCATGGTCCAAAGGGAATCTGCATCATATTTAAGTTTTCGCAAATATGTTTGTAGCATCTTTTATTTGCAGGTAACCAGCAAATAACCGCTATCCTAGCAGGAGCGATCTCGCCGTACCGAACCTTAACCATTCACCGTAGCCGCTTCCGCATCTCGCATTCGTCCTCATAATAATTTCATCGGCATAATCCGCAGGTGAGTCCAGAACTACACATGGCCTGATTCCCGTAAAACCAGGGATATGTAGGCAACTCGAAAATCGGAGTTCAGCCTCCGTCTTCTGAAGCATCCCATTCGGTCAAAATTGGACATCATTTCTTTACCCGAAAACTCTTTCATCCTTCCCGGGGAAAGAAGGGCAGCCGTTGATACCCAATTGCTCCTTATATATTTTAAATATGCATAAAAGCCTTCAAAATATCATATATATGCATATATAAGCATGCACAAGGCTTTCATTATTTTTTCCATAATTTTAAGGGTGTAAATTGATTTATTTTCCCCCTTTTATCCACAAAATCCCCAATAATTATTTCCAAAATTATTGTTTTGATAATTCATTTATTTGATTTCTATACTTATGCCAAAATATGGCTAATGTGATTTTTATGTATTTTACAATTACATTTAGTATTTTTTAAGCTAAAATGCATATAATTGCAATGTTAGCCCATTTCGAAATATAATTGTGTTTTATATGCATAAAATTGGCCCCTGTATTATTAAAATACTAATTATGTATTTTAAAACATTTTGAAACCTTAAATTATTTTCCAGATATTACTTATTATTTATTAAAATTAAAATAGGAAAAAACTGGTTATTTAAATAATAGCCAAATTTGGCTTTCAATTGTAGCCAAAATCGGACCAATTCCGAGCCCCATCTTCTTATTAAATACCCCTACCCAGACCCAATTACCCCTACCCGACCCAAGCCATTTTAAATCCTGGCCGTTGATCTTTTAGATCAACGACCCTCGTTCTTCCTTTCCTTTTAAATTTTGAGAGACCCCAAACCCTAAATCATTTCTTCTAAACCGCCGCCTTCAGATGCTCTCTCATCTCCACTCTTCTCTCAAACCTAACCCTAGACTCCTCCACTCACCTCCTTCTCCGGTCATCTCTGGCGACTATCTCTCAAACCCCAAGCCTCCAATGGTCACTCCACCGCCTTGCTCATCATCTCTAAGGCCCTCAAGGGTCCTGGGCCATGTCGATTGGGACCTAGGGTTTCTGATTCTATTGTCCGAGGCTTCTCTAGTGTGATTTTGGGCAAAATTACACCATAGGTGTTACGATTTGTGAGGTTACAACAGGTTCTTTTGATTTCTGTTTGGGTTTCCTTTGAAACCCTAACTCTCTTCTGAATCTCTCAGATCCGTGTTATTTTCATGCTTTAAGCCTGTTTCCTACTATGATTTGCTTATTCTCGAGCTTTCGTCTGAAAGATCCTCTACTCTAAACCATTTTTACTTTCGTTGAAAACTAGGGTTTTTTTGGAGTTCTTTCTACACCTGTTTTAACCGATTTCCTTATGATTAGACCTTTTTCCCTTATTTATTTTGACCGATTTTATTTTCCTACTACTTTTTAACTTGACTCTGTTAAAAGCCTTAATTTTTAAAAGATTTTCATTACTTCATTTCTATGTGTGCTAGCATGATTTTCTCTACTTCTTTTCTGTGTGTTAGCATGATTTTCTTTACTTCGTTTCTGTGTGTTATCCTGTTTACCTGATTCTTGTTAATCTCTTGTGGTCCCCCATGCTTCGAATATGTTTTTCTGAATCTTTAGCCTACTTATATCATCCATATATGATTGTGTTTGCTCATCTCCTGTTTCTTCTTGTCTATATAACTGACCGTGTTTGTTTGCTACTCCTGTTCATTCGTCTCTATTTATATGGTGAAATATACAGAATCATGACTCCCCATGATTGATTCTGATTTTCCTCAATTGATAGTGATTGAAAGATCTTCTTTTAAAGCCCTTAAAGCTTTACCTCGTCTATTTAAATTAACTGACTTCATTACCTTATTTACCATGGTACTTTGTTTACTTAGTCTTTCCTTAATTGGGTTTTTTCTGAATTTGGTCCTAATTGACTACTCTATGCCTACTGAACCTTGACTCTTTCCTTATTTAATCGTGCACTGATTCTTCTTCCTGCTTTATATGGTACTGAATCTTTCCGTTTGATTTTAATTCCCTTAACTTAAGGAAGTACTTCCTTGATTCTCCGATTGATTGATTCTGAGTTCTTAAATTAGTGTACTACTCTGATTTTTGCCTTATTCCACTACCTATTTTCAACTATAAATACTCTAAGTCTTTCACAAACAAGGCACTGGCACTTGGCTTTCAAAAACTCCTCTCTTTTAAAAATCTCTGTTTCTCTTTTCTTCCTTGTGTTATTTGCTACTATTAGTCGGCTGCAAGCCAAGGCTAATCATCTGTACCCTTTGGTTCCTTCATTCTGCTTGCTTCTATCTTCACTGGTATGTCCTAGAGCCTCAACAACAACATGTTTCTCTTCTTGTTTCAGTTTCTTTTATTTCTAGCCGACTTTTACTTGTGGTTCTGTTGTGAAGTTTGTAGTTAGGCTATATTATCAGCATGCTAGTATGACTCCCCTCCCTTTTAATTCATGTATTCCCTTATGTGATTCAAACATGCCTGGACAATTGTTCTCTTTACTTGCTGTGTGCTTACCATTCTTATGAATCCCAAATCCCTATCCCCCTCTTTGAGTCTATGTTTTTCCTGATTGGTTTGTGATTATGCATGTTTCAACTATTTCTGAGCATGTCCAAAACCAGTCCAAATACCCTTACTGGGGTTATGTGTTGGCAGTCAAATGCCTGTGTATTCCCAAACCCTTGGCCCATGTGTGACTACTGAGTTCAGTTGGACTCTGTGACTACTGAAGTACTTGACTGCGTGTATCACAACAACTTTTTTCGGACAACCTCTATTACCTTATTAATTGCTTTCATACACAGACTTTTAAGTCCAGTCTTTAATAAATTTCTTTCAATATGTGTCCTGCACTTCCATTTCATTCTTAGTCAATAAGTTCTGCCCCCTCTAGTATGTGTACTGCCTCGGGATCCTCTTGAGAACCCTCTGAACTCTGGCATACTGAGGCTAGCCTTTCACTACAAGAAAAACTGCCTTTAAGGAAGGGAATTCTGGTCCCTAAAGGTTGAAATCTGGTCCTAAAAGGGTAAATTACGATGGGTAAAGGCTGGTCGTAACCCGTTGTAATAGCCTCCGACGCTAAATGTCAATAACGACAAGTCTTAGTACCTGGTCGTTAAATCACTTCAGCGACGGACGAAAAATCTGGTCGTTAAATACCTTTAGAGACTGCATTTCTCGTCCCTAATAGACGATGAATGAATTTTATATTTCCATCGTGAAATGTCCGTAGCGACGAACTGTAACTGGTCCTAAATTATCTTTTAGAGACGGACAAAAACCTGGTCGTGAATAAGTTTTAGAGATTACTTTGGCATTTAATTTCAGTAATATATACAATTAAAAATACCACAGATTTGGAAAAATTTACTAGCTTCAACTTTTTGGGTGTATTGCTTAATTTGATCAGTAGATGGAGGCAATGGACTATCAATTTGCATATACTCTTTCTCAAGAACGATAGAGTCTTTACGTATCGTTCCCGGTCCTTGACTAGCAGACATGGTAGAGCTTTTAAACCCTTGTCCTCGTCCCTTCCCAACAGCACCTGAAACGAAATCATATTACTAATATTTAAACATTAAAATTCAGTTGTACACATTAAAAATAGTAGATTTAAAATATCTTACTTGTTTCAATTGTTTGGATGTATTGCTTAACAAGATCACTAGATTGAGGAAATAAACTCTTAATTGGCATATTCTCTTTCTCAACCAAAGATCTAAGCCCTCGTCCTCGTCCTCGTCCTTGTCCCTTTCTTATAGCAGCCGGCGGGACGAACGCATATCTGGTTGTACTCTTCATATTTGAGTCCACATCATTTTCAATCTTTGATGGTTTCATATTGAACCTACAAAGAGCCAAAAGTAAAAATAGTAAGACAACGGTGACAATATAGTAATAAAAGAAATCATGCCATCAGTATATGTAACAATGAATATACTAATTCATAAATAGATACTTCACCTCATTAGTTCTTTTTCGTTTCTTTTGTGATGGATTTCCTAAGTCTACAACATCATCATCCATTTGTTTTACAATCTCATAGGAATCCCGAGGTTGAGTCGTCCTCACTACATGCCAACCTTTGTTGGAGTTATCGATAGCATAAAACAGTTAAGATGCTTGCTCCGCTAAAATAAAAGGTTCATTTGTTTTCAAAAATCTCCCTGGATTAACACTCACGAAGTCATACTCATCTTTTTTAACTCCCTTTATTTTATCATACACATCAAACCAATTACATCGAAATAAAATCACTCTTCTACCCATGAGAAATTGCAATTCAATCACATCTGTTAAAATTCCATTGTAATCAATGTTCTCTCTATCTTTATCATTCTCACCAACCACAACAACACCACAATTATGAGTCCTTAAATTTTTATCATAATCTTCTACATGAAATCTATATCCATTAACAATGTAACCATTAAAATATGTCGTATATTGGGTAGGACCACGTGAAAGTGAGAGCAGATCTTCCATGATCTGACTATCATCTTCTTTATGCAATTGTGCAACCTATCAATAAGATTAAGTTGAATAATTTAGAATTAGTAATACAACATTAAAATGTCAAATTTAATGTTTATATATTACTCACCCTAACTTTAAACCAGTCAATAAATTGTCGGTTCCATTCTGCATCAGACAAGTGCTGCGCAGTATCCACATGAGTTTGTGCAAACTCTCTACAAATTTGAAGTGAACCATAAATGTCATATAAAAAAATTACCCTAAAGGAAATAAGAAAAATGAGACAATATGAAAGAACTCTCCATACTCGAGATATGGTATGACTTCATCGCAATTCTTCAGTATGTATATATGTGCTTGTTCCAATTCATATTCTTCAAGATCACATTGTTCTTTAGCTCCCAAAGTACTTCCAGGTTGATAAAACATAGGTAAACCTCCATTAGATTTTTTCAAACCCCCATCATAATTTCATTCAGGCCGATTGAATTTTGTGTCAATCGTATGCAGATACCGTGAACATAAGGTCATACATTCATTAGCAATGTAGCCCTCTGCAATAGAGCCTTCTGGACATGCCCTATTACCAATCAGAGATTTCAAAAAATATAACCATCGTTCCACAGGATACATCCACCGATAATGAATAGGTCCAGCAATCTTAGCTTCACTAGCTAAATGAATAGGCAAGTGCACCATGACATCGAAAAATGAAGGAGGGAAGACCTTTTCTAACTTGCAAAGCGTTATGGGAATTTGCGCTTCAATTTGTTTCAAGTCATCAATCCTTAACTCCCTTGATCCAAGCACATTAAAGAATAAAGATAACTCAATAAGCGGCTCACACACTTCTTTGGATAACATACCACGAAGTGCAAGGGGGAGTATATGTTGCAGAAGAACATGGCAATCATGACTTTTCAACCCAGATATCTTGTGATCTTTCAGGTTCACACATTGAGAAATATTAGATGAAAACCCATCAGGAACCTTTAAATTCTTTAGGAATTGGCATAATTTGTGCTTACTTTCAGGAGGCAATTGTAGCATGCAGTTGGAACTTCAACTTTCTCCCCTCATTGGATTGGGTGCAATTCCGGCCTAATATTCATGTCTTGCAAGTCTAATCTAGTTTTAATTGTATCCTTGGTCTTTCCTTTGACATTCATGATTGTTTTCATAATATTATCACATATATTTTTTTCAATATGCATAACATCCAAATTCTGTCGCAACAAGAGAGACTTCCAATATGGAAGTTCAAAAAAATACTTTTCTTGTTCCAATTATCCTTTCGATTTTCATGTGATATCTTCTTCTTTTTCTTTGGATCATTTGTTAACTGTATCCCTTCAAGATCTTGCACTTGATTAAGTATCTCAATACCAGACTGCATTTTTGGTGGGAGCCTTTTCTCTTTTGTACCATCAAATGAATCCTTGTCATTCCTCCATTTGTGGCTAAGAGGAAGGTAGTGTCGATGACCCATAAAGCATTGCTTCTTACTATTAGCCAATCGAATTGACGAGGTGTCTTTATTGCAATATGGGCATGCCAACTTTCCTTTTGTACTCCATCCAGATAAATTTCCATAGGCTGGAAAGTCATTGATGGTCCATAACAAAGAAGCATGCAACTTAAAATTCTGTTTAGATGATGCATCAAAGGTCACAATGCCAACTTCCCACAACTCCTTCAATTCTTCTATTAAAGGTTGAAGATATATATCAATTGCATCTCCTGGACTATTTGGACCAGGAATAAGCATTGACAAAATAAAATTTTCTTGTTTCATACACAACCAAGGTGGTAAATTATAAGGAATAAGAACCACAGGCCAAATGCTATATGAGGTTTTTGAATTTCGAAATGGCTGAAATCCATCACTAGCAAGTCCAAGTCGGACATTACGAGGCTCTGACGCAAATGAAGGATGAAGTTCATCAAATGACTTCCACGCCATTGAATCAGTTGGGTGCCTCATTATTCAATCATCAACTCTTTTATCTTTATGCCATGTCATTAAAGTAGATGTATTTGTAGACATAAACAACCTTTAATGAAAAATAGCGTAAAGTCTTTGATGCTATCTTCTTACCTTTTTTATTCCTTGTTTCCCTGCTATATCTATCTATTTTCCATCTAGACGCACCACAAACCTTGCAAGAATCAAGTAAACTATCCTCCTTCCAGTATAACATGCAATCATTAGTACAAGCATCAATCTTGTTGTAGGAAAGACCAAGGTCTTGAATTATCTTCTTTGCCTCATAATACGATTTTGGCAAATCGGCACCATCAGGTAACAACTCCTCTTTTAACATTTTCAATAACATTGTAAATGACTCATTACTCCAACGCCCTTTTGATGTGAAGCAATTTAATCAAAGAGGAAAGCTTTGAAGCTTTTGAATTTTGGTACAGTGGCTGCTCGAAATCCTTTAATAGCCTGTAAAATCTTTTTGCTTCAATATTTGGTTCCTCTTCAATTAAATCATCACAATCAGTGTGCACGGTTCTTCCATCAATATTAGGATATAGATCTCTCAACAATTCTTGTACTTCATCTTCACTTTCACATTCTTCTAGTTCATCACCGTCTTCATCTTCTGATTCTGACAGTGGCTCACCTAACTTTTTCCCGTGATGATACCAAAAAGTATAATTTTGAATTATTCCATATACTTTCAAATGTGTCTCAACTGTCTTACGAGTTCCTAAAGTTGTATTACAACATTTGACACACGGACAACGTATTTCATATTCTTCTCCTGTTTTTTGAAAAGCATAATCCAAAAACTTTTGCACTCCGATTAAGTAGGCTTCATCGAGCCGATTATCAACAAGTTGCATCCATTGCTTACTAGGTGCCATAATCTTGGAGAAAGCTCATGAGTCAAAGAAAAAGATCAAAAAAAATACAAATATTACTGAATTATCATAACTGAAACATAAATCTTATATACAAATTGTAATTACTACGTCTTAATCTCAAACTAGTTTAATTAGCTTTACCAATCCAGAATATCAATTCCACTCCATTTGAACCCCTCCTATTCCAATATTCAACTAGTTTGGTCCACAATATAACATAATAGAAAGAAATATGCAGAACCATTAAGGAACAATATAAACTATACACAAATTTAAAGAAGATCAGAAGTAAAACGAAACAAATAAAAACCCATAAAGCTCAAAGAATTTTTTATTTTGCTAGATGACAGAATAACAGACACCCATAATTATTATTTTTTAACATCTTACAAGCTTCAATTATGTAGTTGAAACCAACATATCAAGCCTTTGAGACCTAATTCCCAACAAATTAAATAGGGCAATTGAAAAACAATTTTAGAATATGAGTAATAGCAATAAATCTTGAAAACTCAACATATAAAAGGCATATAGCTCATGTACATAAGAGAAAATAAATCAGCATGCTCAACGAAACTAAGGAA